GATAAAGAATGTAAGCAGTGTTTCGTGAATGCTCCGGTAGCACAATCGGTTAGCGCGCCGTACTTATAGACAGTATGAGACGACATCATATGGAATGCGGAGGTTGTGAGTTCGATCCTCACCCGGAGCATTTTCTTTCAAAAATATTCCTTATATGATTCTGATAAAGAATGTAAGCAGTGTTTCGTGAATGCTCCGGTAGCACAATCGGTTAGCGCGCCGTACTTATAGACAGTATGAGACGACATCATATGGAATGCGGAGGTTGTGAGTTCGATCCTCACCCGGAGCATTTTTTCTTTCAAAAATATTCCTTATATGATTCTGATAAAGAATGTAAGCAGTGTTTCGTGAATGCTCCGGTAGCACAATCGGTTAGCGCGCCGTTTTTCTTCTTATAGACAGTATGAGACGACATCATATGGAATGCGGAGGTTGTGAGTTCGATCCTCACCCGGAGCATTTTTCTTTCCAAAAATATTCCCTTATATGATTCTGATAAAGAATGTAAGCAGTGTTTCGTGAATGCTCCGGTAGCACAATCGGTTAGCGCGCCGTACTTATAGACAGTATGAGACGACATCATATGGAATGCGGAGGTTGTGAGTTCGATCCTCACCCGGAGCATTTTTCTTTCCAAAAATATTCCTTATATGATTCTGATAAAGAATGTAAGCAGTGTTTCGTGAATGCTCCGGTAGCACAATCGGTTAGCGCGCCGTACTTATAGACAGTATGAGACGACATCATATGGAATGCGGAGGTTGTGAGTTCGATCCTCACCCGGAGCATTTTTCTTTCCAAAAATATTCCTTATATGATTCTGATAAAGAATGTAAGCAGTGTTTCGTGAATGCTCCGGTAGCACAATCGGTTAGCGCGCCGTTTATAGACAGTATGAGACGACATCATATGGAATGCGGAGGTTGTGAGTTCGATCCTCACCCCAATTTTCAAAATATTCCTTATATGATTCTGATAATGTCAGCAGATTCTGAATGCTCGATGTCAATCGGTTAGCATTTACTTTCGTATGAGACGACATCATATGATCCGATAAAGAATAGCACAATCGGAAAATATTCCTTATATGATTCGCGCCGTACTTATAGACAGTATGAGACGACATCATATGGAATGCGGAGGTTGTGAGTTCGATCCTCACCCGGAAATTTTCTTTCCAAAAATATTCCTTATATGATTCTGATAAAGAATGTAAGCAGTGTTTCGTGAATGCTCCGGTAGCACAATCGGTTAGCGCGCCGTACTTATAGACAGTATGAGACGACATCATATGGAATGCGGAGGTTGTGAGTTCGATCCTCACCCGGAGCATTTTTTTTTCAAAAATATTCCTTATATGATTCTGATAAAGAATGTAAGCAGTGTTTCGTGAATGCTCCGGTAGCACAATCGGTTAACGCGCCGTACTTATAGACAGTATGAGACGACATCATATGGAATGCGGAGGTTGTGAGTTCGATCCTCACCCGGAGCATTTTTCTTTCCAAAATATTCCTTATATGATTCTGATAAAGAATGTAAGCAGTGTTTCGTGAATGCTCCGGTAGCACAATCGGTTAGCGCGCCGTACTTATAGACAGTATGAGACGACATCATATGGAATGCGGAGGTTGTGAGTTCGATCCTCACCCGGATATTTTCTTTCCAAAAATATTCCTTATATGATTCTGATAAAGAATGTAAGCAGTGTTTCGTGAATGCTCCGGTAGCACAATCGGTTAGCGCGCCGTACTTATAGACAGTATGAGACGACATCATATGGAATGCGGAGGTTGTGAGTTCGATCCTCACCGGAGCATTTTTCTTTCCAAAAATATTCCTTATATGATTCTGATAAAGAATGTAAGCAGTTTTTGCTCTAGCACAATCGGTTAGCGCGCCGTAAAAACATATCGACATCATTAATGCGGAGGTTGATTCGATCCTCACCCGATTTTTCTTTCAAAAATATTCCTTATATGATTCTGATAAAGAATGTAAGCAGTGTTTCGTGAATGCTCCGGTAGCACAATCGGTTAGCGCGCCGTACTTATAGACAGTATGAGACGACATCATATGGAATGCGGAGGTTGTGAGTTCGATCCTCACCCGGAGCATTTTTCTTTCCAAAAATATTCCTTTATATATGATTCTGATAAAGAATGTAAGCAGTGTTTCGTGAATGCTCCGGTAGCACAATCGGTTAGCGCGCCGTACTTATAGACAGTATGAGACGACATCATATGGAATGCGGAGGTTGTGAGTTCGATCCTCACCCGGAGCATTTTTCTTCCAAAATATTCCTTATATGATTCTGATAAAGAATGTAAGCAGTCTTTCGCGAATGCTCCGGTAGTACAATCGGTTAGCGCGCCGTACTTATAGACAGTATGAGACGACATCATATGGAATGCGGTTGTGAGTTCGATCCTCCCCGGAGCATTTTTCTTCAAAAAATATTCCTTATATGATTCTGATAAAGAATGACGACGTGAATGCTCGGTAGCACAATCGGTTAGCGGAATAGACAGTATGAGACGACATCATATGGAATGCGGAGTTGTTTCGATCCTCACCCGGAGCATTTTTCTTTCCAAAAATATTCCTTATATGATTCTGATAAAGAATGTAAGCAGTGTTTCGTGAATGCTCCGGTAGCACAATCGGTTAGCGCGCCGTACTTATAGACAGTATGAGACGACATCATATGGAATGCGGAGGTTGTGAGTTCGATCCTCACCCGGAGCATTTTTCTTTCCAAAATATTCCTTATATGATTCTGATAAAGAATGTAAGCAGTGTTTCGTGAATGCTCCGGTAGCACAATCGGTTAGCGCGCCGTACTTATAGACAGTATGAGACGACATCATATGGAATGCGGAGGTTGTGAGTTCGATCCTCACCCGGGCATTTTTCTTTCAAAAATATTCCTTATATGATTCTGATAAAGAATGTAAGCAGTGTTTCGTGAATGCTCCGGTAGCACAATCGGTTAGCGCGCCGTACTTATAGACAGTATGAGACGACATCATAAGGAATGCGGAGGTTGTGAGTTCGATCCTCACCCGGAGCATTTTTCTTTCCAAAAATATTCCTTATATGATTCTGATAAAGAATGTAAGCAGTGTTTCGTGAATGCTCCGGTAGCACAATCGGTTAGCGCGCCCTCACCCGTACTTATAGACATAAAGTATGAGACGACATCATAAGGAATGCGGAGGTTGTGAGTTCGATCCTCACCCGGAGCATTTTCTTCCAAAATATTCCTTATATGATTCTGATAAAGAATGTAAAGCAGTGTTTCGTGAATGCTCCGGTAGCACAATCGGTTAGCGCGCCGTACTTATAGACAGTATGAGACGACATCATATGGAATGCGGAGGTTGTGAGTTCGATCCTCACGGAGCATTTTTCTTCCAAAAATATTCCTTATATGATTCTGATAAAGAATGTAAGCAGTGTTTCGTGAATGCTCCGGTAGCACAATCGGTTAGCGCGCCGTACTTATAGACAGTATGAGACGACATCATATGGAATGCGGAGGTTGTGAGTTCGATCCTCACCCGGAGCATTTTTCTATCCAAAAATATTCCTTATATGATTCTGATAAAGAATGTAAGCAGTCTTTCGCGAATGCTCCGGTAGTACAATCGGTTAGCGCGCCGTACTTATAGACAGTATGAGACGACATCATAAGGAATGCGGAGGTTGTGAGTTCGATCCTCACTCGGAGCATTTTTCTATCCAAAAATATTCCTTATATGATTCTGATAAAGAATGTAAAAATATTCAGTGTTTCGTGAATGCTCCGGTAGCACAATCGGTTAGCGCGCCGTACTTATAGACAGTATGAGACGACATCATATGGAATGCGGAGGTTGTGAGTTCGATCCTCACCCGGAGCATTTTCTTTCCAAAATATTCCTTATATGATTCTGATAAAGAATGTCAGCAGTGTTTCGCGAATGCTCCGGTAGTACAATCGGTTAGCGCGCCGTACTTATAGACAGTATGAGACGACATCATATGGAATGCGGAGGTTGTGAGTTCGATCCTCACCGGAGCATTTTTTCTTTCCAAAATATTCCTTATATGATTCTGATAAAGAATGTAAGCAGTGTTTCGTGAATGCTCCGGTAGCACAATCGGTTAGCGCGCGCCGTACTTATAGACAGTATGAGACGACATCATAAGGAATGCGGAGGTTGTGAGTTCGATCCTCACCGGAGCATTTTTCTTTCAAAAATATTCCTTATATGATTCTGATAAAGAATGTAAGCAGTCTTTCGTGAATGCTCCGGTAGCGCGCAATCGGTTAGCGCGCGGAGTACTTATAGACAGTATGAGACGACATCATATGGAATGCGGAGGTTGTGAGTTCGATCCTCACCCGGAGCATTTTTCTTTCCAAAAATATTCCTTATATGATTCTGATAAAGAATGTAAGCAGTGTTTCGTGAATGCTCCGGTAGCACAATCGGTTAGCGCGCCGTACTTATAGACAGTATGAGACGACATCATAAGGAATGCGGAGGTTGTGAGTTCGATCCTCAACCGGAGCATTTTCTTTCCAAAATATTCCTTATATGATTCTGATAAAGAATGTAAAGTTCGGTGTTTTCCTTGTGAATGCTCCGGTAGCACAATCGGTTAGCGCGCCGTACTTATAGACAGTATGAGACGACATCATAAGGAATGCGGAGGTTGTGAGTTCGATCCTCACCCGGAGCATTTTTTTTCTTTCCAAAAATATTCCTTATATGATTCTGATAAAGAATGTAAGCAGTGTTTCGTGAATGCTCCGGTAGCACAATCGGTTAGCGCGCCGTACTTATAGACAGTATGAGACGACATCATATGGAATGCGGAGGTTGTGAGTTCGATCCTCACCCGGAGCATTTTTCTTTCAAAAATATTCCATTTATGATTCTGATAAAGAATGTAAGCAGTGTTTCGACATGAATGCTCCGGTAGCACAATCGGTTAGCGCGCCGTACTTATAGACAGTATGAGACGACATCATATGGAATGCGGAGGTTGTGAGTTCGATCCTCACCCGGAGCATTTTCTTTCCAAAAATATTCCTTATATGATTCTGATAAAGAATGTAAGCAGTGTTTCGTGAATGCTCCGGTAGCACAATCGGTTAGCGCGCCGTACTTATAGACAGTATGAGACGACATCATAAGGAATGCGGAGGTTGTGAGTTCGATCCTCACCCGGAGCATTTTGTCTTTCCAAAAATATTCCTTATATGATTCTGATAAAGACTGTAAGCAGTGTCTCGTGAATGCTCCGGTAGCACAATCGGTTAGCGCGCCGTACTTATAGACAGTATGAGACGACATCATATGGAATGCGGAGGTTGTGAGTTCGATCCTCACCCGGAGCATTTTTCTTTCCAAAATATTTCCTTCGGTTATACTTGATTCTGATTTTCTATCCAAAATATTCCTTAATTCTGATAAAGAATGAAGCAGTCTTTTCGTGAATGCTCCGGTAGCACAATCGGTTAGCGCGCCGTACTTATAGACAGTATGAGACGACATCATAAGAAATGCGGAGGTTGTGAGTTCGATCCTCACCCGGAGCATTTTCTTTCAAAATATTCCTTATATGATTCTGATAAAGAATGTAAGCAGTGTTTCGTGAATGCTCCGGTAGCACACAATCGGTTGGCGCGCCGTACTTATAGACAGTATGAGACGACATCATAAGGAATGCGGAGGTTGTGAGTTCGATCCTCACCCGGAGCATTTTCTTTCCAAAAATATTCCTTATATGATTCTGATAAAGAATGTATGCAGTCTTTCGTGAATGCTCCGGTAGCACAATCGGTTAGCGCGCCGTACTTATAGACAGTATGAGACGACATCATAAGGAATGCGGAGGTTGTGGAGTTCGATCCTCACCCGGAGCATTTTTCTTTCCAAAAATATTCCTTATATGATTCTGATAAAGAATGTAAGCAGTGTTTCGTGAATGCTCCGGTAGCACAATCGGTTAGCGAACCGTACTTATGGACAGTATGATACGATATCATAAGGAATGCGGAGGTTGTGAGTTCGATCCTCACCCGGAGCATTTTTCTTTCCAAAAATATTCCTTATATGATTCTGATAAAGAATGTAAGCAGTGTTTCGCGAATGCTCCGGTAGCACAATCGGTTAGCGCGCCGTACTTATAGACAGTATGAGACGACATCATATGGAATGCGGAGGTGGTGAGTTCGATCCTCACCCGGGCATTTTTCTTTCCAAAAATATTCCTTATATGATTCTGATAAAGAATGTAAGCAGTGTTTCGAATGCTGAATGCTCCGGTAGCACAATCGGTTAGCGCGCCGTACTTATAGACAGTATGAGACGACATCGGTTAGCGCGCCGGAATGCGGAGGTTGTGAGTTCGATCCTCACCCGGAGCATTTTTTCTTTCCAAAATATTCCTTATATGATTCTGATAAAGAATGTAAGCAGTGTTTCGTGAATGCTCCGGTAGCACAATCGGTTAGCGCGCCGTACTTATAGACAGTATGAGACGACATCATATATGGAATGCGGAGGTTGTGAGTTCGATCCTCACCGGAGCATTTTTCTTTCCAAAATATTCCTTTTATGATTCTGATAAAGAATGTAAGCAGTGTTTCGTGAATGCTCCGGTAGCACAATCGGTTAGCGCGCCGTACTTATAGACAGTATGAGACGACATCATATGGAATGCGGAGGTTGTGAGTTCGATCCTCACCCGGGCATTTTTTTTCCAAAATATTCCTTATATGATTCTGATAAAGAATGTAAGCGACATCATATGGAGTGTTTCGTGGAATGCTCCGGTAGACGACAATCGGTTGTGAGTTCGCGCGCCGTAAAATATTCCTTATATGACAGTATGAGACGACATCATATGGAATGCGGAGGTTGTGAGTTCGATCCTCACCCGGAGCATTTTTTCTTTCAAAAATATTCCTTATATGATTCTGATAAAGAATGTAAGCAGTGTTTCGTGAATGCTCCGGTAGCACAATCGGTTAGCGCGCCGTACTTATAGACAGTATGAGACGACATCATATGGAATGCGGAGGTTGTGAGTTCGATCCTCACCCGGAGCATTTTTCTTTCAAAATATTCCTTTATATGATTCTGATAAAGAATGTAAGCAGTGTTTCGTGAATGCTCCGGTAGCACAATCGGTTAGCGCGCCGTACTTATAGACAGTATGAGACGACATCATAAGGAATGCGGAGGTTGTGAGTTCGATCCTCACCCGGGCATTTTCTTTCAAAAATATTCCTTATATGATTCTGATAAAGAATGTAAGCAGTGTTTCATGAATGCTCCGGTAGCACAATCGGTTAGCGCGCCGTACTTATAGACAGTATGAGACGACATCATAAGGAATGCGGAGGTTGTGAGTTCGATCCTCACCCGGGCATTTTTCTTTCCAAAAATATTCCATTTATGATTCTGATAATGAATGCCGGATGTTTCGTTTTCCTTGTATGCTCCGGTAGCACAATCGGTTAGCGCGCCGTACTTATAGACAGTATGAGACGACATCATATGGAATGCGGAGGTTGTGAGTTCGATCCTCACCCGGAGCATTTTTTTTTCAAAAATATTCCTTGTATGATTCTGATAAAGAATGTCAGCAGGTTTCGTGGATGCTCCCGGTAGCACAATCGGTTAGCGCGCCGTACTTATAGACAGTATGAGACGACATCATATGGAATGCGGAGGTTGTGAGTTCGATCCTCACCCGGGCATTTTTCTTTCCAAAATATTCCTTATATGATTCTGATAAAGAATGTAAGCAGTGTTTCGTGAATGCTCCGGTAGCACAATCGGTTAGCGCGCCGTACTTATAGACAGTATGAGACGACATCATATGGAATGCGGAGGTTGTGAGTTCGATCCTCACCCGGGCATTTTTCTTTCCAAAAATATTCCTTGTATGATTCTGATAAAGAATGTAAGCAGTGTTTCGTGAATGCTCCGGTAGCACAATCGGTTAGCGCGCCGTACTTATAGACAGTATGAGACGACATCATATGGAATGCGGAGGTTGTGAGTTCGATCCTCACCCGGAGCATTTTTTCTTTCCAAAAATATTCCTTATATGATTCTGATAAAGAATGTAAGCAGTGTTTCGCGTATGCTCCGGTAGTACAATCGGTTAGCGCGCCGTACTTATAGACAGTATGAGACGACATCATATAGGAATGCGGAGGTTGTGAGTTCGATCCTCACCCGGAGCATTTTTCTTCCAAAAATATTCCTTATATGATTCTGATAAAGAATGTAAGCAGTGTTTCGTGAATGCTCCGGTAGCACAATCGGTTAGCGCGCCGTACTTATAGACAGTATGAGACGACATCATAAGGAATGCGGAGGTTGTGAGTTCGATCCTCACCCCTTATATGGAGCATTTTTTCGTTCCAAAAATATTCCATTATGATTCTGATAAAGAATGTAAGTTCGATCCTGTTTCTTTCAAAATATTCCTTATATGATTCTGAATGCTCCGGTTTCGCGAGCACAATCGGTTAGCGCGCCGTACTTATAGACAGTATGAGACGACATCATATGGAATGCGGAGGTTGTGAAAATTCGATCCTCACCCGGAGCATTTTTTTCTTTCCAAAAATATTCCATATATGATTCTGATAAAGAATGTAAGCAGTTTTTTATTTCGTGAATGCTCCGGTAGCACAATCGGTTAGCGCGCCGTACTTATAGACAGTATGAGACGACATCATAAGGAATGCGGAGGTTGTGAGTTCGATCCTCACCCTGAGCATTTTTCTTTCCAAAAATATTCCTTATATGATTCTGATAAAGAATGTAAGCAGTGTTTCGTGAATGCTCCGGTAGCACAATCGGTTAGCGCGCCGTACTTATAGACAGTATGAGACGACATCATATGGAATGCGGAGGTTGTGAGTTCGATCCTCACCCTGAGCATTTTTTCTTTCCAAAATATTCCTTTATGATTCTGATAAAGAATGTAAGCAGTGTTTCGTGAATGCATCCGGTAGCACAATCGGTTAGCGCGCCGTACTTATAGACAGTATGAGACGACATCATAAGGAATGCGGAGGTTGTGAGTTCGATCCTCACCGGAGCATTTTTCTTTCAAAAATATTCCTTATATGATTCTGATAAAGAATGTAAGCAGTGTTTCGTGAATGCTCCGGTAGCACAATCGGTTAGCGCGCCGTACTTATAGACAGTATGAGACGACATCATATGGAATGCGGAGGTTGTGAGTTCGATCCTCACCCTGGAGCATTTTTCTTCCAAAAAATATTCCTTCTGATAAAGAATGTATTCTGATAACAATCAGAATGTAAGCAGTATGTTTCGTGAATGCTCCGGTAGCACGTCGGTTAGCGCGCCGTACTTATAGACAGTATGAGACGACATCATATGGAATGCGGAGGTTGTGAGTTCGATCCTCACCCGGAGCATTTTTCTTTCCAAAATATTCCTTGTATGATTCTGATAAAGAATGCATGCAGTGTTTCGTGGGTGCTCCGGTAGCACAATCGGTTAGCGCGCCGTACTTATAGACAGTATGAGACGACATCATATGGAATGCGGAGGTTGTGAGTTCGATCCTCACCCGAGCATTTTTCTTTCAAAAATATTCCTTTATATGATTCTGATAAAGAATGTAAGCAGTTTTCGTGAATGCTCCGGTAGCACAATCGGTTAGCGCGCCGTACTTATAGACAGTATGAGACGACATCATAAGGAATGCGGAGGTTGTGAAGTTCGATCCTCACCCTGAGCATTTTCTTTCCAAAATATTCCTTATATGATTCTGATAAAGAATGTAAGCAGTGTTTCGTGAATGCTCCGGTAGCACAATCGGTTAGCGCGCCGTACTTATAGACAGTATGAGACGACATCATAATGAATGCGGAGGTTGTGAGTTCGATCCTCACCCGGGCATTTTTTCTTTCCAAAATATTCCTTGTATGATTCTGATAAAGAATGTAAGCAGTGTTTCGTGAATGCTCCGGTAGCACAATCGGTTAGCGCGCCGTACTTATAGACAGTATGAGACGACATCATAAGGAATGCGGAGGTTGTGAGTTCGATCCTCACCCGGGCATTTTTTTTTTCCAAAAATATTCCTTATATGATTCTGATAAAGAATGTCAAGCAGTGTTTCGTGAATGCTCCGGTAGCACAATCGGTTAGCGCGCCGTACTTATAGACGCCGTATTATAGACGACATCATATGGAATGCGGAGGTTGTGAGTTCGATCCTCACCGACATTTTCTTTCCAAAATATTCCATTTATGATTCTGATAAAGAATGTAAGAGTGTTTCGTGAATGCTCCGGTAGCACAATCGGTTAGCGCGCCGTAATAGACAGTATGAGACGACATCATATGGAATGCGGAGGTTGTGAGTTCGATCCTCACCCGGGCATTTTTTTCCAAAAATATTCCTTATATGATTCTGATAAAGAATGTAAGCAATTCGTGAATGCCCGGTAGCACAATCGGTTAGCGCGCCGTACTTATAGACAGTATGAGACGACATCATATGGAATGCGGAGGTTGTGAGTTCGATCCTCACCCGG